CTCCTGCATTTCCTAAAGGGCTCTTGTGTAAACCTGCCTGCTCACACGGCAGCCAGAGCCCAGTGCAGAACCAGGCAGGACACATTCCGGATTCCCCCACTACTTGGGCAGAACTAGATGCCCCCTGTGCAGAGGTGGCTGGACTCCACAGTCTGGTGGCAACTGGGAGCTCAGTTCCCAGAGGCGGCTGAAGTTACACTGCATCTCTTAGGCCTTCTGGGATCCAACAGGTAATATCAAAACAACAGCTTACTTTTCTTGAATTCCTTTGATCCCAAAGTAAGGAGTGACTTTAAAAGATTTACTCTGCTCCTGTGTTTTTAGGTTTCTGTATAAGTCTTTGCACTCAGATTCACTCATCTTATGGAGGGTACAGCTTCTGTTTTTGCTTTTAAAAGTCTTTTTCAAAGATTGATTTATCCCACACACATTAATAGATTGCCCACTGTGAATGAAATAATAAAGTTAGTAGACCTTATGGGGCTCATGACCTTACGAATATGAGTGACAGTGATAAAGTGCTATGAATACCATGATAAAGCCATCTTCAAACTGCTGTGGGATTGCAGAGCAGACAGATTCTGATAAGAGATCAAGAAATATTTCACAGGGGAGGTGATCACTGAGTTGGGCCTTGTAAGATTTTGCTTGTTGGGGAGGAGGAGGTCCTCCGATAAAGGTAACAGCATGAGCAGTGGGGAGGGAGTGGTGGGAGAGTCAGGGCGCAGTTAAATTATAAAACATAAGATGACTTTTTATTTTATTTATTTATTTATTTAAAGATTTTATTTATTTATTTGAGACAGAGAGAATGAGAGAGACAGGGAGCACATGAGAGGGGGGAGGGTCAGAGGCAGAAGCAGACCCCCCGCTGAGCAGGGAGCCCCGATGCGGGACTCGATCCCGGGACTCCAGGATCATGACCTGAGCCGAAGGCAGTTGCTTAACCAACTGAGCCACCCAGGCGCCCATAAGATGACTTTTTAAAGGAAAAATGTATTTTTCATAAGCACAGTGACCTGCACAATGGAGGTAAGAGAAAAATGTTACTGTCCCTGAATGGAGCTGACCTGAGAGATCCTTCTCATCTGTGGGAGTTGGGCCATTCCTGCACCCCGCTCGGTTTGGCAGTGACGCTGGTGGAGGAGTGCCTGTAGTGGGTAAATGGGAGAGGCCACAAAACCCTGGAGCGCATCCCTAGAAGAGTGACCTTATGAGGAAATTTCTGGGAAATAAACCACAGGGAGACTTTACAGGAATTTTTGGTCGAGCCCACAGGCAAGGCACATGAGGAGAGGAGATGTAATTATAGTTTGTAAGTCTATGAAAAGAAACAATGAGTGGCATGAGATAGCTGTTCTAAGTTTCTTCTTCCTGCAGGACAAGACAAAATGGGTTCTTTGCACTCATTCAGCAGAAACTTCTGAGTGCCAGCTGGGAGCTGGACCCTATCCTAGATGCAGGGAGTATGGTGGCAAAACAGTCAAGGTTCCTGCCCCAAGGAGCTCATCAGGGAAAATTGGCCTTAAGAAAAGGGAAATGTATTTTGGTTGGAGATTATGGCGAGTGCTATGAAGGATAAATCCTCATTTCGATTGGAGGATCATGGAGGACTTCTCTGAGGAGGTGAGAGGCAAGTTGAGGCAAGGTAAGAGCCAATTAGGCAGACTGGGGGCGGGGGTGGGGGTGGGGGTGTCCCAGGCCAAGGGGAATAGCTTGGGAAAAATCTGGCCCTTTGGGGGGAATTAAAAGAAGGCCTGTGTGGCTAGCACACAGAGGTGGAGGGCAGGAAGTGCGCTGAGAGGAGGCTGGACAAGGATCAAGCAGGGCCTTCTAGGTCCTGGTAAGAATTCAGATTGTATCTCAAGTGCAGTGGGAAGCCATTGAAGTGCATCAAGCAGGAAATGACAGGATCGGATGTCCATCAGACAGCTGCATGGAGAATGGAGCTGGGGGGATAAGAGTGGAAGCTGGGGCAATCCAGGAGGATTTTCAGTAATCAAGGGAAGGGACTGAGGTGGCAGTGGAGGGCGGAAAAATGGATAGACACATTTTGGAAATAGAATTATTTGGAATTGGCAAATGGATTGGATATGGGGAGAGAGAGGCAGGAAGACGCAAGGGTGTCTCCCAGATTTCTGGCACAAGATTGTATGCGTGCCTTTCAACAGATCCTAGACCCCATAAAGCCCTGTCATTTGGGAGAGGTCAAGTAGGGTTGATCTGAATCCAGCCTTGCCTAGGCAGCGGAGGTATGCAGCTGTCCTCTTGCCCTGCCTAGTTCAAAGAGCTTATACCTGCAGCAGCACCCAAGCAGGGGTTCTGGTTCTTCTATCATGGGGCCCTTACTGTCTCCCTTCCCCCTGAGGACAAGGCTCTAAAGAATCTCTGTGAACTCTAGGGTGCCACTAGGGGGAGCATGGCCTGCATTTTGTGCCCAGTCTGGAGGGCTTTTTGAAGTCTGGATTACTTTAGAGACTAGACTTGTAGCCGCTTCAGTACTCAGCCCCGGCCCCGGCCCCTGGCCCCTCATAGTGCTTTGAAGAATGCCTGCCATATGGGAGGTGCTCAGTAAATGTTAGTTGGTGCTAATATTGTAACTGTGAGTATTATCTTGTGGAAGTGAATGGGCATCATCTCTTCTTTTTCAGTATGGCTACTGGGAAGTGGAATGTGCATTTTCAGAGTGAGGAGGAGAACAGAGGGATGCCTGTGGGGAATGGGAAGAGGGAGAAGTTTTGGGACCTGATGGTGTTGCACTTGCCATTTCATCCTGTCTTCCTTTGCAGACGTGGGACACTAGGGCCTTTGAGGGATTCCTGAGGTGGTGTTTGGCTCAGGTTGGGCATCTGTAGTGGGAGATTGGTCCCTGCCCCCTTTGAAGCTCTGATGGCTTCACTACAGCAATAGGGCCCACCACCACTTAGGGTTTATACCGTCCCGTTATTTCCTGTTGCATTTTCTTGATGCTTTTCCTACTTTGGCTCCTGACATGTAGTTACCTTTTTTTTTTTTTTTTTTTAATATTTACCTTTTAAGCTTAAGTCAATTAAAATCTTGTTTTGAGAATTTTGTGATATATCAGAGGTTAATAAAAACACAAGGATTCTGCAAGGAATTGCTGCATTAAAGATTCCATCAGGACCTCTCTGGCACTGTTTTAGGAAGCAGCGTTGAAAAATGTCTTCCTTGAGCCCCAGTGTCCTCCTCTGGGAGAGATACCAACTGCCCTGGCTTTTTGTTTGTTTGTACATGGTAAAAAACAACTGAGATGAATGAAGTTCTTAGCTCAGTGCCCAATTTAAGGAGAATGCTTTCCCACACATCATCTCTTTTTATGCCCATCCCAGCCTGTCAGTTGCCCATGGGGTAGGTTTCACAGGTGGAAACTGGGAGGTTAGTTAGTGGTAGAGCCAGACACTTCCAGGGTCTTCTGACCCCTGCTCCATGGTTGCTTCTACAGCTACTCTGCTTAATACACACAGGAGAGCTGAAAGGCTGTATCTAGGTCTGTTATTTTCTGCTTCTGTGAGCTGGGGCAAGTCATTTGACCTCTCTTTGAGATTTTCTTTGATCTGTTAAATTAGTATGATAATACCAGTCCTAACTTTTAGGTCAGTTGTGTTGAACAGATAAGCCAAGATTTATGAGGGTACTTGGGAAAAGTGTAAGGTAATTTATAGCTTTGGGGCAGGACTTTTCGCTCTAATCTGTGCACATTACCTTCCACGTCTCATAGATGCTATCATAGAGTCTTCAGGCCAACTGGATGGTAGTCAGGTCTCACACACGATGACTGAAAGATTTCTCTACCTTCCCCTGGGAACTCAGCTTTGTATCTCAATACTGGCTATCAAAAAAGTTGTTAGTGTGGTGCCCGGGTGGCTCAGTCGTTAAGCGTCTGCCTTCAGCTCAGGTCATGATCCCGGGGTCCAGGGATTGAGCCCCGCATCGGGCTCCCTGCTCCACGGGGAGCCTGCTTCTCCCTCTCCCACTTCCCTGCGTGTGTTCCCTCTCTCGCTGTGTCTCTCTGTCAAATAAGTAAAATCTTTTTTTTTTTTTTAAAGATTTTATTTATTTATTTGAGAGAGAGAATGAGAGAGAGAGAGAGCATGAGAGGGGGGAGGGTCAGAGGGAGAAGCAGACTCCCCGCCGAGCAGGGAGCCCGATGTGGGACTCGATCCAGGGACTCCAGGATCATGACCTGAGCCGAAGGCAGTCGCTTAACCAACTGAGCCACCCAGGCGCCCCCAAATAAGTAAAATCTTAAAAAAAAAAGTTGTTAGTTCTTAGGATCAGATGGTAGTGTACTTTAGTGGAAAGTGCCCTGGACTGGAAGACAGTGGCCTAATCTCCTAGTTCTTCAACTGCCTAACTCACGAGCTGTGTAACTGTGGACTAAACATTGGGTCTCTCTGAGCCTTGGTTTTCCAATCTATAAAATGGTAATAATATTGTCCAGTGAATTTCAAATGGTTTGAGGATCAGACAGAATAGTGCATATAAAAGAAGGTCACAAAGCAGAAATGTACATGGGGGGTTGAATTGAGAGGGCCTGCCGTGTCCCAGGCACCGTGCTAGCTCTTGAACAGGAGTGGCAGTATTCCTGGCTGTCGCAGCAGCTCACAGACAGCCGGGGCGTTAGCTGCAGGCCCTGAGCAGGGCAGAGCGATGAGGCTGTGTTTGTGTCATGTCTGTTGCTTGGGCTGTGACTCTGGACTTGCCCAGGACTCTTACTGGTCCTGACCTAGTGTCTTTCCTCTCCATTGCAGGAAGATGAGAGACTGCTTGGGCACCAGCAATAGTACCATGAGTCCCTGCACTGGTTAAAGCGATCACCACAACCTGGGCAGGCAGCAAGGTAAGCAGAGAGGCCAGTCCAGGCGAGCTCCTGGGATGTGAATGCATTTCCGCCTCAAGTGCTGCCCGGAAAATCCCAAGTGCACAAACAAGTCAAGGCAATGCGTCTGGGTCCTCCTACCCGCACTCTGGGACCCAGAGGAAAGGCTTGCTTCCCCTCCCAAGTGCTCCAGCTAGCTCCCTCCTCTCTGGCCAGGATTCCTCCAAATTAAAAAAAAATGAGACACTGGAGGGGAGGAAAACAAGTCCACTCACTGTCTTTCCCTTCTCCCATCTGAGCTGTTGAAGCAAGTTCCCAGGAGCTGCCCAGAGCCCTTGTTTGACTGGAAGGGAGGTAGGAGGAGTGGAATGTGTGCAGAACCCGAGCTGATCAAAAGACAGTGCTGTTTTGTGGAAGCCTCCCAGAACTGAGAGCGGGAGAGAAGGGGGGTGGAGGGGGAGAGGAGAGAGGAGACAGAGGGAGAGAGAGAGAGAGAGCGAGTGAGAGAGAGCGAGCAAGCGCGAGCACAGGAGCATGCTGGCTGGCGAGAACAGGGTCTCCATGACAACTGGCCTGGCCAGCTAGAAGTGCTCTGCTCATTTGGCTGGAAGGAACTCCACGAAAGGTCAGAGGAAGGAGCTGTGGGAAGCTCGCAGCAGGTATCGGAGCTTAAGCGAGTGGATTTTGGGGCCCTGGGCTCCCTTACAGACTGTGGTGTGAGCCAAACTCTGCCGAGAATGGAGTGGGCAGGAAAGCACCGGGACTTTCAGGTAAGGTCAGCTCCGGCTTGGATTGTTTTTTCTCCTTTCCTGGCCATAGTCTTGGGCTGTTTTCTGGGAGGCAGGCAAATGTCTGTACTCTCTGCTTGGGGTTTGGGGCTCAGGAATGATGTCATGCTTCAACAGTTGGATTCTATTAGCTTAAGAAGGAGGGAAACAGCCAATTTTCTTGACTTTGCAAATCTAGCTGATCTCACTCTTGCTGAACCTGAGGTGTTTAGACTTTCTGTAGAAATCATCATCTTTTATTTAGCACAAAGGCTTAGGATATGTTACAGAAAGAGTGTTTTATATAGAAAAAGCAAGTTATCATCACTCCAGTATTGTGTTTGAGGTTCCTACACGGAAACTCCAGTGTCTTTTGAGTGGCGTGGTTTGTTCTAGTGAACACTGTCTGTTTTGTCTCTTGGTGCTGCTATGTCTGACCTGTAACGAAAAAAAAAAAAAGCCAGTTAACTCAGCTAGGGGCCTGTGGTGAGTTCCCAGTCTCTGGAGCAGTTCTTAGGACAGAGGGACCGTCTTAGGGATATCTGAGCTGGGAATCACACTCTCGGTCTCTCTCCCAGGTAACTTGGAAAGAAGCATGTTGTTCTCCTGCGTTAATAAAGCCCATCACAGGCTTTCCTAAAAAGTATATGGGGTGGAGGCTGGCAGGTGTGTGTGTATTTTGGGTTGGGGGGCCTGTGAAGAGGTTTCCTATACAGGTATCTCCAAGTGAGCTCTCAGTGGTGGCCGCTAAGAGCTAGCTTGCTCGTGGAGACACGAGGTATTGTGGTTGTGCCAGATGGATACTTTGGGTTAATATTTTAACCCAGTCTCAGGGCATGCACTGTCCATGCTGTGCACTCCTCTTCTGTTTGTCGTATGCTTTGGTAAAACTTGTTCTGACCTAGAGGACTGGTGTGTGGTGAGCTCAGTGTGGCCTAGCAGAAGAAACCCTTCCAGAAAGGCACTTTATAGGTGATGGGGGTAGCTAGGTTGTTAGTAATCTGATTTGGAAGATTCATGCAGCAGACACTCCCTGCAGTGGGGACCCATCAGGAGATGTGCTTCCGCTTCAGGCATGTTGTATCTCAAACTTACTCCTGGGCCTCAAGGAACATTGTGGATGCCTTTGGTTTCTCTGTGGGATGAGGGAACAGCTGCTGTCCTGGCTCTTTGGTTTTTCTTCTTGAACTTTCTGAACAGAATGTCTTTTGTATTCTGGCAGACAATGAGGGGGCCTTCTGATTAACTTCGGGTCAGCTTGCCAATAAAAGCACTGACCATGTCCCCAATTTGGGCTCCGTGAATGTGTACACGTATGCACCAGTATTGTGGCCTAAGGGTCCACAAGGGTGAACTCCGTGGCCCTGCACCTCAGATGGGCCACTGTTAAAGTGATGCCTCCTTTTAGTACACTCCAGTGATCCTCTGCTTGGTAGAAACCTCTGTTTTGTTGGGGGGATATGGCATTGCACTATTGGTTGGGATTAAATTTGGGGGATGTGAGGAAGAGGCAGTGCAAATCCAGAATCTCAGTTCTCCTCTGCTCAAGTGGCTGTGGTTGGGGCTCACCTCCCCCCAGCCCCGATATGTGAAGAGGGCTAGCGATGATCATTCTTTTGGTAAATCAGAATGAACACCGGATTTGGGGTTAGTAGACTTGAGTCCATGGTCAGATTCTGCTACTTGCCATCAAGGTGGCTATCGGCAAGACCATTAACCTCTGTGACCTTCGGAGTTATTAGCTGTGAGATGGAAGATAATGATATAACTACTTCAACAGGTCTTTTGGGAAGAACAAAAATGAGATCATTTTCATGAAAGTAATTCTAAGTAAGAAGTCCTCTATAATGTAAGATGTTGAAGGATGACCCCACTCTATTCTGTATAGTCATTTTGCCCCTCTGTTCTGGTTTCCCAGTTTATAAAGTGCCCTTTTCTTTTGTGCATTTACAAATAAAAATGAGGAAAACCTTTAAAAAGTCCTTTAAGATATTAAAGGAAACAAATAGTGCTTTCTTTGGGTTGGGAAATAGAGTGATGTTCACTGTAGGCTTTGAGCCTCATAAATGATCCTTCAGAGATGAAACTTTCTTTCCCTTAGGTCACCTGATTCATGTGTTTAGTACAGAAGAGAGGGATTCCAGCAGACCCTTTGCTTTTCCAGTGTCCCACAGCTAGCTACCTGGCAGTTATGGTGTCATAAATTTCAGTAGCTGGAAGAGAGGCTTCTGGTTGTCAGGTTTGGTTCCCTCATTCTGCTGGGCTCTGCTGGGGAAACTGTTTTGAGTGGGCAGAGAGGCCTTTCTCCTGTTCTGGGTTTGAAAGGCAGCGTCTAACTGGCAGGAAGAGTTAGCGCTCTGAAAGGCTCCTTGGGGGCTGGGCAGCTTTCAGGAACCTGTGTGACTACAGCTTAGAGGGAAACAAGAAAGAAAGAAAGAAATGAGGAAGTGGGAATTTCAAGGGCAGAGATTCTTGATATGCAGTGGGACTGTGCCAAGGAACAGAATAGCAGGGGTGGGGAGACTCCAGGCAAGGACACCCGGATCTGATCTCAGGGAGTGTGTACGGCTCATGGCATGCTTGGTGGGAACACAGGGAGGGACCTGGCACCCCACCTGCAGCCCCAGCTTCTGTCGTAGGACAGGGAAGCTGCCTACCATGCCCTGGGCTCTGGGAGGAAACCCCTGGGAAGACCCTAAAGAGGCAGATTTGTTGTTGAACAACAGAGCCACCTTCCCAGGCGAATCACAGCCCAGCAAGCCTCTAAGGCCTGATGGCAACTTTGTCCATAGCTTAGGTTGGGGCTGCAGCTGTTCCCCACTCCTCCTCAGTCCAGCTTCCCAGAGCTGAGTCACACGTTGGATGGATCCCTCTGTGTTCTTTAAGGATTAAAAAGTAACATTCCTGTTCTCACTCCCTCTCTCCCCCTTCCTCTACACCCCTTCCTGCACACTCTCCCACTGGGCTCCCTCTCTCTAAAATTAGAATAATCAGTTATCCAAGGAAGTTGAAACTTTGAAATGCCTTGGAGGACAGGCCTAGGGCATCCTGAATTCCGCTGTCTCTGCCCTATCCCTGGAATGGAGGGCTTGGGTATAAAGTTTGCAGGGGCACCCCAGACTCCAGGTATCATGGCCACACTGCTGGCCCAGGAGTAAGAGAGGCTGTGCTCCATTTCCTACCTAATCTGATTCTAAGAACTACTTTGGGGGGCACCACTGGGCACCTGAGGGTGGTGGGAGGGTCTGAGTCAGGGACTGCCAGAGCACCTCTCTGCAGGCAGGCAGCGGGGGGGGAGAGACTGAAGAGCATGTCTTCCTGTTGTTTCTCTTGTCTCCTATGTGTCACTGTCCTGGAGTCTCCTGATTTCTAGTGTTGGGCCCAAGAGAGTTTGCTGAGGCAGCCAAGCACAGGGAATGCGTATCTGAGCCTGGAGGAGTACAGGCATCAGCCCTGCAGAGTGTTGGCTTGGCCTCCCTTCTGGTCCTCTACGTTAGCTTGGGAGAAGAGGGTGTTTAGGGTGGACAGGGGGAGGGGAAGGGGAAATCTGCCTGCAGATAATTGAGTTCTTTGAGTTAGAAGAACCATGGAAAGTGGAGAAGGGGCCAGGAGGGCATGAAAGAGGAAAAAAAAATTACCGTCTGGCATAGTCTGCAGAGATTTCTCTATAAAGCCTGAGGGAGAACTTGCATTAGTGAGCGCCTTCTCCTGGGGGTGGGGAGGGAGAGTCTGAGCATCTATTTTTTTCTGGGGAGGAGGCACTGTGTGCATCTATCTCAGTAGGTGGGTGTGGTGAAATACTGGGTGCATCTGTCTTAGGGAACATGCCACGGAGTATTGCCTGATAGAAAACCCCCCTGTAAGACCTAGAAAACTCTCCTATGTGTATGTGTGTTGAGGGGAGAGGAGGATGTTAAATGAGCCTAGACTACCTTATTGTAGGATTTCTCCAAAGATCCCTTCTCTTATTATTTTTGGCTCTAATATACTGTCAAAATTATCAGTATTCTTCTCATCTAAAAACTGCCTGTGTGTTAGATTGTACTGTCTCTATAAAGGGTGAATTATATGCAATTAGAGTATGATACCTTAACCAAAGCTGACCCGTTTCTAAGGGTTTGTCATGAAACTGCCCATTTCTCAAAGATGCAGACTCTTCTTGTGCGTGACTTGTCACTGAAGGGCTTTGTAGGTGAGCTGGAGGTGGACTAATAGGAAGCAGTACATCAAATGAAGGACTGTTTGATCCTTGGGAAAATGAGATGAACAGGGGGTTATGGGAGCCGAGGAGGAAACAGGAGAGAAGCTCTGGGCAAGGGGACTGGGGCAGGGGAGGAAGGTAGTTCTGAGGAACAGCATGGGAGATAGAAGGCAGTAGCTGGGCTGCTCTAGGAGGCCTTCACAATTTAGCAGAAGGTTGGCCTGCCCCCAGGGGACCCAAGGGGACCGTGTTGTGTAGGTCCTAATAACAGGGAGGCTGGCATTGTGGTTGACACCCTGTTCATTTGCTCCTGGGCTTGGAGGCATCTCTGGCGCCAATGTGCCCTCTTGGTCTGTCCACCCATTTCGTCAGTGAATATGGAGGGTCTGGGCCAAGAGCTGGGGAGGGTCTAAATAGTATCAAGTGTGAACTTGATGTTGTCACTAGGTATTGTATCGTAGTTATTTCCTCCCCAAAGTGAGCCTGTCTCTGTGATTAAGAGAGAAGAAACATAGGCCAGCTGAAGTTAGGGTTTTGCAGGTAGGGTTAATGACCATCTCATGCTTCAGGCTGGGAAGAAGGCGGAACGTCCAATTTTTAGACTCTGATATAAAGCACTGTTTGAATGATGGAAGAGAGCCAACTAAAAAGGACTAGAGATAGGAGGGAGAGGGTTCTGGTCTCTGTCGAAGCTTCTCTGAGAGTGTCAACATCAGGTGTGGGGGATAGGAAAAAAGAAAGAGGAAAATTGGAAAGAAAACTATATAGTCAGCTAGTTTTCAGAACTCTTCAGCCTTGTTCG